CAACAGAGGAGTTTCATGTGGGCAGGAATGGGCTGGCATTAGCAGCATGGACTGCTCAGACACTGGCTGGGAAGAGTGTAGGAGAAGTATGCCTTCAAAGCAAAGTCATGGATCCTACAGTGACAGCTGAGGTCTTCAATTGACTATGCCCTACACAGTTAAGTTCTTCTGAAGGAGACCTGAATAGCCAGCTTCCCTGGTTGCCAGAGAAGCTACTTAAACTCCTGTGGTATAATTAAAAATAAATAAATATTTAGTCTTTGCTCCTGGTTCCTGGCACAGAGATCTTAAAATCATTGGAATTCCAAGTAATAAAAGCCTGGATTATATGCTAATGTAACAGATGACTCCGGGTGGGGGTCTCTAGGAAGCTTCAGGATGGGAGCTGTTTGCCACAAAAACCAACCATGTGATTAGAGGGTTAGAACTTTGAGGTCCACTCCACCCCTTATCTCTGGGGCTTTGTAATCAATCACCACTGGCCAGCAGTGAAGTCAGTTATGCCTATGCAGTAGAGCCTGAATAAAAATTCTTTATAAATTTTTTTCCATTTCCATTATAATAAACTGTTAAAAATAAAAATATTTCTTTTTTTAAAAAAATATTTAACAATGAGGTTTGAGGAACCTACAAATTGGTGGGCGCATCAAGGTGCTGGGAAAGTGACCCTTCTAGAGAGCTGTACAACATCCCCCCTATATTTTGCCCTATGGCCCTCTCTCATTTGACTGTTCTGAGTTATATATATATATTATAATAAAACTGTAATCATAAGCACAGTGGCTTCTGTGAGTTCTTCAATTCATTCTAGTGAATTACTGAATCTAGGGGTAGAGAGAAGTCATGGAAATCCCAAATCTGTCATCAGCTAGGCAGAAGTGGGAGTAGCCTGGGGACCCCACTTGTGGCTTGCTCCTGAAGTGGGAACAGACTTAGGGAAGTAAACCCTTAACTTGTGAGCCTGTGCTAACTCTGAATACCTAGAGTTAGAATTGAATTGTAGTTACTTGGTGTTGGAATGACATATTTGTGAGGAAAAAAACACACAACTCCTAATTATCTTGTGGACTTGCAACTGAAACATCACCTCTTAGGATGGCCTTTCTGCTCCTAGGACTAGCTCTGGTCCCAGATTTCCTTTACAACACATATAAAGAGTTATTCATATAGTTATCTGATAACTGTCTGCCCCATCAATTACACTGTAAGCCTCATACTGGCTTGACTTTTGTTGAGTAGTTTTTGTCCCTATATTTTAAATTAAATATTCAGAGCTAGAGATCCTCTCTTACTATAGGGTTGTTGTGAGGATTGAAAGAGTAAATATATGTCATGTACTTTCACATACCAAGCACAACATGTGTTTGCTATTACTACTGTTCATCTTTAAGTCTCTGCAGTTCTCAGGATAAAGTAGGCTACAAATACATGAAGGTAAACTGAATTTGTATGCACATTATGTTAAAGGTAACTGTTTAGTAAAATTCCACACTGTGGGTTCATTTTCATAATGTCTTTTGATTTCCTCCAAACAACACCAAAAGGATCCAGGTATGGTTAGAGACAAGTATCTGAATACCCTGCCAATGTCATGATCACAGGCAAAAGCCTATTTCCAGGAATGGTATAAAGCAAGGTAAAAAAATCCCTTCCAGAAAAACCCATGCCTTAGTCTAAATTATTGAGATATGAATAACTAAGGTGTATACAAACAAGAAAAAATATTGAAAGAAAGGGCAAAAGATTATTTTGGATTAGAAGTTTGTGGGAGCTTTTTTCTCTTTAAGTCTGTGTAGACAGCTTATGAAATTTAAGGATAAAAACCATCAACTAAAAATAATTTGGAAACCCAATATGAACTAGTAAATACTTATAATTATTTAAATCCAAATATAATCAAGAACTCAGCTTTGCCTTGGAGTCTATTAGGTAATGATCGTCAGAAGTCATTTTAAGAGACTATCTTAAAATGTCTTTATATCTATATGTAAGTAGGTGTTTTAAATAAGTATGTTTTCACAAGGCACAAACATTCCACTTTAGGGTGACACCACAATACTTGGTCAATAAGCATATGTTCAATGAATTTAAGGCCATTGGCACATAATATTTTACTTGATATTTATTTGCTTTATACATGAACATAGAAAGCAAACGCTGAGAGGTTGGTATTAACTCATTTTAAGTAGTGACAAACTGAGGCATAAAGTAGCTAAGCACCTTGCTGAAGTTCAGAGAACAAGTAATGGCACAATCAGAACTTGAACCCAAATCTGCCTGGCATCAAAGGCGATGCTCCTGAGCCCACGCTGAGGCCTTCCTAATGAATACATGGAAGAATGCACACAAAACAAGGTCAAATTCCAACCCTTTATCATATAATTAAGTTCATATTAAAAGTGAACAAATTAGGCCTGACTGTTAAGCACTTAATTTTATCCCTCCTTTTTCTTAATTTTCCATTAGAAAATGCTTCCAATTTCTATCAATAATAATAATAATTCAAAGCTTAATTAACTTTTTGTTGTTGATTTTACTGAGATGCTACTTTCCATTCAACCATTTTTCTTGGTTTCCCACTTCCATTATAGGAGACATGAGAAAAAAACAGTAGTGATAAAAGTGACTTAATGCAGATATAAGAAGAATTTAGAGTGGGCCAATAGATTCTTGATGTTAAACACCTAAAATGGAAAATGAGGTCTCTCCAGAAGGTATTTAGTCATGTACTATGAAAAATAGAGACATTTATTTATTGAAGAAGACACAAGATACAAGAAACATTGTACATAGGACAATGACACCTCAGTCGTCTTCAAAGTAGGCACCTTGGGACCTCACACGTTCTCTCAATAGCCATCAGCTGCCCTGTGGTATTTTCCTGAATCTAATTGATGGTCTGAAATCTTTTCCCTTTCAAAGGTGACTTTAGTTTTGGGAAAAGCCAGAAGTTGCAGGGTACCAAATCTGGGCTGTAGCAGGGCTGAGTCACCTGGGTGACTTGATGTTTCACCAAAACACTCTGCACAAGACATAATGCACGAGCTGGTGCATTGTGGTGATGAAATTGTCGATCACCAGGTACCAGTAGCTACAGCCTTCTGAATCAACCGAATAGTTTCCATGGAGGAAGGATCAAGCTTAATGCAAAATTTGATGCAGATTTGTTGCTCTACTTGCTCAGTCATTTTGAATGCAATAGCCACACAGTACACATGCTCACTCAGTGGTGTTTATTGCCCCTACTGACTGGTACAGTGAAGTTGTCATTGTTCATGTATTCCAATTCTAGTCCACTCTCCTTGGTCACCAGGTTACATCAATGTCACGTAAACCATTCTCATCATATTAACAATGGCTGGATTTTTTCCGGACAGACCTCATATATCTTATATGAGGCTCTCCTTATAGCAATTAATTCACATGAAAGCAAATAAGTAAGAGAGTTCTGTGAGAGAGAACTGATATCTCCCATGTACTCTCTAATGGTCTATAGGCAAACCCTAGAAAACACAAAATAGTATTCAGTGAAGAACTGCCTCTTTCTGAGCAGCTTGGTCCAGCAAGATTCTAGGGTAATTTACAATCAAATAAGAAAGCAGATGCAACTGCTAATGTTTATGAGATGATATGAGCTTGCAAATAAATGATTATATCTAAGTAGATGCTTTTTAATAGAAAACAAAGAATGTAGGGTGTGTTTATCATCAACCTGAAACTAAATGTTCATGACCTCTGATACATTAAATGCTAAAGCTTATAGAGATAGAATTTACTTGAAATTAATGAGCTTCTATTATGGTATGATACCGGTTATTCTGAGGGGGAGAGAAATGCAGCAACTTTATAATTGAAATCACCTAGATTATCCATCTCAACTAAGGTTAACCCTAAACTGAATAATATTAAATGATTGCTACTTATGAATTCTCCCAAAACTTAAGGGATGAAAGAAAAATCTGTTTATTGGTCATATGGTTATATATTGTTCCTTAGCAACCAGGATTTGTCTTTCATGTGACTAGAAGTTGATGAAAAAGGGGAACTGAAAATGAAACCATTTAGACAGTTCTAATTCACAAGCAGTAATGGCTTTATGAACGATGCTGTTGAGGTACAGAAGCTCATTCCATGGGGCAGAAGGAGAGGACCGCTGACATTTTGCATAATAAATGTTTCCCAAGTACCAACTGTAGTCCCTGAACCAAAGATCAAGAGTAAATAGAACTGCTCTGGCTGGTGTGGCTCAGTGGATTGAGCCGTGGCCTGGGAAGCAAGGGGTTATTTGTTGAATTCCCAGTCAGGGCACATGCCTGGGTTGCAGGCTGGGTCCCCAGTTGGGAAGCGTGAGAGGCAACCACACATTGACGTTTCTTCCCCTCTCTTTCACCCTCCCTTATCCTCTTTCTGAAAATAAATAAATAAAATCTTTAAAAAAAGAAAAGAGAGAGTAAATAATACTTGTCTGTCCTAATGAGCAACACTTAATCTCAGGGACAGGAAACTGCAGTCACCTCCTCTCTCAGTCTAACTCTTCTGATCCTAAGTGGCTGGTCTCTCTGGGAGCTTCGTTGGGAGGCAGCATTTGGATGTACCCAGGCATCAGTTGCCCTCTTCATCCTTACCTTGCAGCTGATGCAGAGATACCAGTTAGGGCACCAAATTTTAATACAGGAAGGAAATTTTTTTTTCATCCTTGGTAGAGTATGAGTTCAGAAGATACCTGGAAAATTAGTAAGAAGCCAAGGCAATCTCTCCACACCCACGTCTTTCAATCCTGCAGCCAGTCACCAGAATCAGGAGACTAGTGGTCTTGAAAGAAATGGGGACTTAGGTAAGTATGTAAAGAACCGCAGACTGGCACATTCAATTTATGTGTGTTTTTGTTTAGGCTAATGTGGTTCTAATGATCTAGAAGGTGTCAGTCAGTATGTTAGGGGGTCTAGGATCCTGCCCTTCCCCGGCCCCCCTTTCTCCAAGACCTGCTGTGAAACACTTACAGTCTCTGGCCCGCGTGCTCCAGTCCCTCCCGCGAAGGGCTCTCGGAAGTCTTCTCCAAACTTTGCCCCGGGCTTTGCAGCGGGTCCAGCTCACGACGCTGCCCAGAAGGGTCCCGGGCCGGGCGGGAGGCGGAGGAGGAGCCGAGCCCCGAGCCCAGCAGCGTACTGCGACTGTACATGGTTTAGAGAGCGCTGGGCCCCAGGCGCCGCGGCTGCAGCGGGTTGCGGGCTGGGTTGCTTAGCGAAGGTCCAAAAATCAGGGCAGTGGTTTCAACAGCTGAGTTTCGATTTCTCGCCTATGGCTACAGTTTGTGCCCGCCCCGGGGACTTCCTCATTTTTACCCCACTGGGGCACCCGGGACGTTATCCCAGGTACCAGCTCCAGCCACGCCCTCCCTGCGGCCCCCGGGGCGCTTTGAGCTGACTTGGCTGAGGCAGGTGAGTCGGTTTAAAATCTCACAGCCGACCTTAGAGGATAATAAAGGTGACTGACTATTCTATGATTAGTCACGACCATATTGTAAGTGAGTAAGATACTTTAGGAACTGAGTTAGACACTTCAGGTTTCACAGGTAACCTGATTTGAGGTTACTGCTGGGTATTTGAAACTGTATATTAACCTTCAGACGCCAGAGATTAGGTCAATACTTAAAATCACCTAACAAAAATTTGATTTTAACAGTGATGACTGCTCTTTAATTGTTGTGCAAGTACTTCCAAGTTAAAGGAAATGGAAACTGCAATCAAAAGCAGAGAAAACACAAAACTGGAGAAGCAAGCTGAGGGGTAGGCAGAGATGTTCCCAATGCTAAGTCATTGATCAGACAGTCAAGAAATATTGGTTAAATACCAGCTCTGTGCAAGACATTGGGCAATGATTCGGCTATGATGTGAGGATTTTTAAAAATACAGATTTGTAAGATTCTGCTTCTGTAGGCATTTGGGTAATTTTTAAAATCCTCCCAGATGATTCTGATATGTGTAATGGATTTTTTTGCCCTGGTCATAATGCTGGATATACAAAGATGAGAGAGAGCTCTTTCCTCACATAACCTGTATTCTAGGGACAGATAAACGGACACTAATGCCACCATGAAATAAGTGAAATAACAAGTGGGTGCTCTGGGAAACTGGGAATTAGCCCTCTGAGTAATTCAAGGAAAAGGGGCATTTGAGAATGAGCCATGAAAGACATAGGAGTCCATCAGGAAGAAGATGCAATGGCCGAGACTTGTGGCTTAAACGGCAACATGGTGCCATTTAACTCCAGTTAGGTGCCACCTAACTCCAGGTGCGGTGGTGGAGCTGGAGCACCCAGCCCCAGGCCAGTGATCCATTTAGGAGCTGGATCGTCTTGCTGTATAATAGAGCTTAGAACAGAATACGTTTGATAACTGTTGAAAGAATGAAATCAAAGTATGGTAAGGCAAATGCGTGGAGTAGTACAGGAGGGGAGAAGGTAGTGGCAAGGGACACAGGAGAAAAGGAAGTCAGGGTTTCTGTGGCATCCTAAGGCCTTAGAGCTCTATCAAATAAGCCAGAGTTTCTCGAACTTTAACAAGCATCAGAACCACCTGGAGGGTGTATCATAACAAACTCTGGGCTCTAACCTTTGAGTTTTTGATTCAATAGGTTTGGAACGAGGCCCAAGAATTTGCATTTTTAACAAGATTCCCAGAGATGCTGATGATGCTACAACCACCTTTTGAGACCACTGCTATAGGCAATGCATTTTTTCAATAGTGCAGTTCTGTAATAATACCTATTTGAGAAAGCTAGCTCTACTAGCAATGTAAAAGAGATTGAAAAAAAGAGACTAAAATCCAGGAGATAAATCAAGAGTCTAGTTATTATAATCTAGGTAAGAAATATAGGTTTGAGCTAAGGAGAGTAGAAAGCAGGGTGCAAAATCAAGACATTTTAAATGAAAAATTAACATGGTTAGATTAAAAGTAAACAAACAAAGCAAAAAGCAACTAAATGCAAAGGAGTTCTGAGCACCAGAGACTCAGAGAGAAGAGACAATTTACACAGTGCTTTGACCCAGCTTTGCCACACCATAGACACATAATCAAGGCCAAGTCTCTAAATTTCCCTGAGGCCCAGTTTCCACATCTGTACAATGTGGAACAAAGTTACACTACTTACTTCATTGGGTATTGTGAGGAATAAAGACATAGTTCACATCAATAGTTCTCAAATAGAGTTGATTCCCTGACTGGTGTGGCTCAGTGGGTTGGCCTTTGTCCTGCAGACAGAAGAATCAGTGGTTCGATTCCCATTTAGGGCACATGCCTGGGTTGCAGGCCAGGTCCCTGGTTTGTGGCGTGCGAGAGCTAATATTTTCTCTCACACATTGATGTTTCTGTCTCTCTCCTTCTCCCTCCCTTCCTTTCTCTCTAAAAATAAATAAGTAATCAAATAGAGTTGATTTTTGTCTGCAGCAGACATTTGGCAATGCCTGCAAGCATTTTCTACTGTGAAGCCTAGTAGTGGGTGGGGGTCAGGTTCCTGACATCTAATGGGTAAAGGCCAGGGATGCTGCAAAACACCTGCAAAGCACAGGGCAGGCCTCCGCAACAAAGAATCATCCTGCCCCAAACACCAGTAGTGCTGAAGTTGAAAAATCCTGATCAACATAAAATATGCCTAAGATTAGAGCCCCGGTAATTTAATGGTGCTGTTTTTATGGAGACTTTAAGGTTTTAGCTTTGTGATTGGATAGATGGAGGAACCATGAACCATTAACCATTAACCAGGAGGAGGGTCAGGTTTTGAGGGAAGGTAAAAGAGTTTGATTTGGAAACGTAGAGGCGCCTGCAGGGTGAGAAATGTGGGGGGGGCGGGGCGGAAGTGGATCTGGTGTTCTTTCTGGAGGCTCTCTTCTTCAAAATCTTTACTGGTGGGGAAAAAACCACTGGAAGTTTTGTTTCAGAGAAGAAAGCAGGTGTTTTGGTAGTCGGATTAAATTCAAAGTATGAGTATGGGAAAACCCAAATTAGGGGAAAACCGATTATATTAAAGGAGTTAGAAATAACACTACTGACTTCAAGAGTTCACTTAGTTGACCATATTTACTTTGTAACACACCAAAGTTTCAAACATGAGATAGAGAATAAAAGGAAAAATCTAAATTGCTTATTCTGCTCACTTCTCATTTCACTACATACTCAGTGTTAAAAAAAAAGTGAATGTGATTTATTATTGCAATAGACATCTACAGGTTCCTTTAGGCTGCTGGAGAGTACTTGGTGTGTACATTGGTATGAGAACATGGGCTGGCCTTTTAGCAGGGTTGTTCTAGGATGTATTTCTATACAGCAATGGCTGGTGGAAAGAGCAGGATGAGTGAGGAAGGTTCTGGATTTCCATCCCTGCTTGCACCAGAGTACTTTAATCTGCATCTCCTCTATACATTGGACTGCTGCCTGATTTTGTTTGAAGCAAGAGTTCCATGGCTTCAGAACTGTGAAGAACCACTGTACTAGACTATTACCTATATGTTATATGGGATGTGGGAAACACCTGCAGTCTAGTGAGATTGTTAAATTGCCTGAAATTTGGCAAATTAGAGATTTGTTTAGGTGCAGGGGTGCCCAATCCATGGCCCAGGATGGCTGTGAATGCAGACTAACACAAAATTGAAAATTTACTTAAAACCTTTTTTTTTTGCTCATCAGTTTTTGTTAGTGTTTGTGTATTTAACATGTGGCCCAACACAACTCTTCTTTTTCCACTGTGACCCAGAGATGCCAAAAGTTTCAACACCCTTGGTAGGGAATGATGTTCTTTTAAAATATAACTGCCTCCAGGAAATAATCATTTATTCATTCCTTTAGTTAAAAGAGTTTAATCTGAGCAAAAAAAAATATTGGTTAAAAAAAGAGGAAAGCTAAATGGAAAGGATAGGATTTAAAAAGACACACAAAGGAAAAAGTTGTAAAATGAGATATTTATGGAAAATGGCAATTCAGGACTACAATGAACAATTTTAGCTAGCCCAATAAGCTAAGATAAAATTAAATAAAAAAACCAAACAAACAAACCTTTACCAGTTTGGTCTGAGGTTAAGATATCCAAGTGAGTTTTATCTTCCAAAGAAATAAATGGAAATATATACCTAAGTTGTAAATTAGTTGCCTTAGATTACTCCTTCATTAGTATTAATAAATGTGTAGATAAATATCCATAGATTCCTTGACAAAGTATCTCGATGAAAACAATTCTGAAAATTCTGCCATAGCTGGTATGGCTCAGTGGAACCAAAGGGTGGTCAGTTTGACTCCCAGTCTAGGGCACAAGCCTGGGCTGCAGGCCCGGTCCCCAGTAGGGGGCGCGAGAGGCAACCACACCTTGTTTGTCTCCCCTTCCCCTCTCTAAAAATAAATAAATAAAATCTTTTTTAAAAAACGTTTCTGAAAATTCTAAAAGTCATGCTTCCTTAAATTTGATTCTGCAGTGAAAACTTAGATTAATCCAATAGATTAAGGAGAGCAGTTATTTAAAGCTCTTTTTTTTCTCCTCTAGCAAAAGAGTAATATAAAACTCCCCTAATACTTGGCATCATCTCAATTTAAGTGTGTGCATATATGTATCTTGACAATTTTATTTCTTTAGAAATTCTTCAAATTTATATCATAAAATCATGGAATGCTACAACTACCGTCACCTCGAGTTCATGCAATAAATATTTAGTGAATGATAAACATATACCACTTAACTCTGTCAGACTCTGAAGTCAAAGGTGGGAGCAGACAGAACCTTGTTATTCTAGATCCATGTTTAGGTCATCTAACCACCTCATTTTAGACATGGAGAAACAGAAACTTAGACCAGTGAAGTGACTTGCCAGCATTGTGTAACAAATCAGTGGCAGAACCAGAACTTCAATTTAGGTCTTCTGAGTCCAAGTCTAACTTTTTACACATTTTGGAAGATGATTTTGTCAAATACTCATTTTGACAAAGTTCAGGTTTGGAATGCTTTTCATTTACCGTGAGTTTCCCAATGAGCAGCTGTGTATTATTTTCCAAAACAGTATGTCACAGTTTCTAAACCTATCAGAATCAACAGTAATAAAAGTCCTTAACACTCTAATATTCATCTCTACAATTACATGATCAAACGATATATACAATGACAGTGCTTAGGATTTGTCAAATTTTCATAAATAGCACACACTGATTTTTCTTAGAATTTCTTTTC